ACACCGAAAAAAAAGTTTTGTTTTTTTTAAGTGTACATTAGTTGCACACAACCCTGCTGGTTTGACTGAAACCTATGTTGTGTTAATTTAAAGACAACTTATTTCAACGTAATCAACTTGACTCTAAAGCTGTTTTGTTGCTTCAAACTGAATGAAAAGGATTTAGCAAACAGCTGACTTTACAGGGTTCGACCCTGCAACCCTCAGATACCAAAGGCAGTCTTACAGTGAGCCGCCTGCTTTGTGATACGAGCTCCAAGGGGTTTAAAATCTGCATCTAGAGATACTGGGTAAGCCAATGCAGTGTATGAAATTTATATTCCTTTAAATATTTGGTTTCCCCAACTTACATGCTAACAGAAAATGCACACTTTATGAAATATCTACAAAATATAACACATGAAACAATAATTTTTAATCACTAAATGCTGAAATCGATCCAGCAGTTGCCCCATTAATCTTTTTAGTTCATGCTCCTCCAGGAGAGACTGGATGCATATTTCAGATTGATTTAGGGCGCCTGGCTTCTGAAAACTTCTGGCTTCAGTTTGTTTAAATAAAGATGTTAAAACGTGACTTTAGCTAAAGTGGATCATTTCTATATTAGAGCTGAGAGACAGTTTTTCACATCCAACGTTAAAACCTAAACCAGTTTAGGCCCTAAACTGATCCGACGGGACACCAGAAACCTTCAGGCATCATGTTCTGCTGGATCTGTGGTTCCTTGATGTTTATTCATGCTGGGCTGTTATTCTTTAATAATATCAAAATGTTCTATAAAGCTAAATCTGTTAGCTGAGCCAGAACCGCAGGAGGAACTTCTGTAAATAAATCCTGCAGCATCACTTCAAAATAAACAGAATCATGAATCAGTCAAAGTTAAAAAACGATAGAAAAAAATCTTTTATTAAGCAAAACTGGATTCTTAAAATCTGGCTTCAGATGATGGATTTAAAATCCACCTCCGGCACTCGGTGCTTCAGACCAGATTTAAACCCAAAGGCAGAATGTCAACAACCGTCTACTGCCAACAGTCTCATTAGGAAGGGAAGAAGAACCGGGCCTCATGTGGCGGTCCGACTGTGAATGCAGCAGGGACAGCAGTGTAGCGACTCGTGGATGAAGAGATCGCACTCCACACAAAACACGCTGCGACACGATGGACATGAGAACACCTGGAGGACGGAGACAGAACGTTTTAACAGGACGGATGTTCGTTAGGGTCCTGTCACACCTTGCCAATTTATTCAGCCTATGCCTGACGTTCCAGAATCTTCTAAAATGCTGACATAAACTGAGTTTTCTATGTATTTTTTCAAGTTTGGGCGTATACATAGAGTAATTATAAAGAGTGCAGAACTTAAGCCGAATGACAGCCTAACTTATGCATAATGCATGGCAGCGTAATGTCCATGAAATGATGCACAAGCCAGTGTCCTCAGGGGGGCAGTGATGCCGCCTTAACCTAGCTGCTATTTATGGCGTGCCAAAAAAAGTTATGTATAAGTTACTTAGGTTTTCGATAAGCTAGACGCCATGAGTAATTTACACTTAATGTACACTACCGTTCAAAAGTTTGGGGTCACATT